GAGGAAAGTGTCCTCTATCATGAGATAGGTCTCTAATATGAGGTAGGAGGTTTCCAATATCCAAATTTTATCACAAATCTTTACTCGCAACGATTACACGATCTAACGATGAACTTTCCGCTAAACAGATTTCACTCCAAGGGCAATGACTTCACGATGAAACCAACGGGTGATGCCTTTTAATGTAGCAAAAACCCTGCTGTCTTATGAGCTTATCTTAGGAGTTTATCTCATAATAGGGGACTTTCCTATACGAGTGAGATAGACTTAACGGAATTTCAGTCCCGTATACAAAATTCGACACCCTCTAATTGTTGATTAGAGCCATTGGTGGTGTTGACGCATGTCAATGGGGAATTCGAAACAATCGTTGATATACAAACACTACCGCAAGCAAACCGCATACGGTTACATAACATGTATACGTCCAGGCATTCCTCTTTCACTCGATTTTAAAGAGCCACACACGCGACGTTTGCGTGGACGAGATAGCGAACGGATTCCGGTTGCATTCGACGTTTACGCGCGCGTAAATGATTAAATTTATCTAAATGAAGCTCAAATTAACAATAAATCGTGTCTCGCGAACCGCTCCTCGCCGCGACACGACGTTCCGATCCGTGTCGAATCGCTGCGAGCGTTTAAGGCCGAATCAGACTGGCAATTGTCGACGCGGATTGTCTTCTGGCCAATGAGAGCAAAGCGCCCTGCGATTCTATCGACTCTCATTGGCTAGAGGACAATCGCCAATCCCAATCCAATCCGAGTCGGCAATTGCGAGTCCGAGTTGGCCTTTAAGGCCGAATCAGACTAGCAATTGCAAACGCGGATTGGATTGGGATTGACGATTGACGACTGTCCTCTAGCCAATGAGAGTCGATTAAATCGCTGGCTGCTTTGCTCTCATTGGCTAGAGGACAATCGCCAATCGTCAATCCCAATCCAATCCGCGTTTGCAATTGCTAGTCTGATTCGGCCTCTACGAACGCGCGGTCTGCGATTCCACACAAGTCCCGCGACGCCCGCAAACCTATCCGACGAGTTACGTATAAATTATTACGAGAATGAGAATTACGAATATCGTAGCGCCTTTACGTAAGTATCCGCTGCGCAAGATATTCGCGCACGCCAATTAGATTACATCGTGAAATTTTGGATTACTAGTTGTGTCACATCTGCGGCGTATTAGCGTGTAAAAAGTTGCAGAAAAATGATTTCATAAGTGGAAGGTTAAAGAAATTCTGCGTAAAATTATAGAGCGGTACGCCTACGAGCCGCTATTTTTCCGATTAGCTGGTGTTTATGGTCTTATCTTTGTTACGCCACGCCACTCGACGATGTCTCGAAGAGACGTGACTCATGTCTTGTCTCACCGATCTGTGCGAGCCATTTACGCCCGAAGACATCCCCCCGGCCTAAACGAGAGCTTTCATAATCGACGTGTCCCTGTAAGACCCCGGCGGTCGATATCTATTATCAACTATTCGATTACTGCACGCCGGGTGCCATTAATATCATTATTCATCGGAGAACTGTCGACTTGCTAAAGTATTGACACGAACGAAAATAGTTGGGACGTTATCGAATCCGCGATACGACCACCGTGATTAAGAAAACCGGGCGAGAAAAGAAAAATCAACGCGGTTAAAACGTAAGAGCTACGTAAGTAATTACTCCGTCAGGCGAGCGCGTCAATCCGCGCCTCTGAGTCCGGCGGTTAACGAGCGCTTTCGTTTTGCAAAATGAACGGTGAACCGGAGAGGCGAGAGCGTTGGCTTTCGCGGCCGGTGCAGTTGCACAAGCGTGATACAACAATTAGCTGCAAATCCTGCGCGCGCGCCGCGCTGCACTTTCTAAATTCACGTATACGAATTTGTCCGAGAGCTCGATAAACCGCGGCGACAGCGGTATCGCGTGCAACGCGTCGCGAGTAACGGCGAACCGCGTTTTTCTGTGTATCTCATCTCCGAGAGGTGCACGCAGATATAAGCGCATTAAGCGCGTGGCAACAATCCGCGAGGTAAAAAAAAAATAGAGAACTGTCCGTGTGCAGGTTGCTCCGGCTTTGTACGTGTGCCTGTGCGCGGAACCGCTTCTGAAAACCGCGACGCGCATGAGGGATCGCGGATCGCCGTACAGTTGCGCAAGGAAATCCGATCTCGTCTCGGTCACGTAATGGAACTCGCGAAAAAAAAAGACGCCGAGCATTAAGGGAGACAAACGACGGTGACGTGGCGATTTGTCGCACGGAGGTGCAAGAAACAATATAGCGGCGGAACCGAGACCGACAGTCCGGGGCAGACAACAAATTAACCAGTGACAGCATCGGCCGCTAGAAAGGAGACTGTTTTTACCTCTTTATGAGCGTTTGGCGAGACGATTAGTGCGGCGCGGTGCATAGTTCGCTTCGAGTCGTAAGATGTCAAAAGGCATCTATGTTTAAATAATCGAAAAAAGAACAATCAGAAAAAATGTCCGACTAAATATAATTCAATTACAAACGGATATACCCGAGTAAATTGTATATCCGATGAAAAACATGATCGGTTTTTCGATCAAATTTCATCGGTAACTGCATTTCATCGAATATACCCGTAACTTGATGGGAAAAATTAACCACCGGTAACGCTATTTACGGTACCGGCCAAAAGTATAATATATCGCCTTTAGGTTTTCTGAGCATAACTTACGTCAAGGTGCATCGAATGTGCTCAAAATTTTTAAGTGGATTTCTAACAGCAGGTGCATCTTGTACACGAGGGGTAATGAAATTTGACAGAGTGCACCACGACTTTCGAATTTCTCATTTGTGCACAATTAGTTTCACTTAAGAAATCGGAAGGTGATATAATTTCGACCGGTACCGTTATTGGCTTATCCGATGGACATTTTTCTCAGAACGAATGCGGTCTTACGGAGATATAAACGTTGATTTGTAAATTAAATGAACGAAAGTTTAGCAGGGGAAGTACAATGCGCTATTTCGGAGCTATTCGACTCGTTCGGACGGGTTGGTCCTCGTTAAAACTAACGAGTAAAACTTCGGTTGAGATATCGGTTTCAGTTCGAGGAAGAGAATGCTTCTAATTGCTTCGCGACCGTCGCAGATGCGATAATATACTGCAATTCCACCTGGCCATTTTGCGCGCCAAAGGACGACGAAATCGTGCGCAAGAAATTGATACCGTTTCAGCTCGCTCGTGACGGCTTCGTCGAAACGGCAGTGGAACAAGACAATCGTAGCGTGCGCACGCCACAGAGACACAATTTATCGCGACCTAACAGGTAGCCGACGGCAACAATTTTCAATTAGTTCCATCCGAGTAGCGTCGCGGGCGAGTCCGCGGCGACCACTTCTCCCTCGCTCTCTCTCTCTCTCTCTCTATATATATATATCTCTCTCTTTCTCTTTCTCTCTCGGGATAATTTCCCTTCCCGTCCCGTAAATCCTCGATAAAACCGTTAACAAAAATCGCGACGAGCCGCGCCGCGGGTTTCGCCGCGATTGTCGCCGATAGCGGGTTCTACTCTATAAATTTATGCGGATACCCGATAAACACACGCGGGCGCGCGTCGACGCGCCGCGCCGGCACAATTTTCCTCGTTAACAATGGTCAATAAAATCCTACGTGCGCGGCCCGCGTGGTACATTGTGCCCTGGTGATAACGGTCGACGAATCGTGCGAACGATTCTCGATCGCGTCATCGGCGAGATCGGGGCCTTTTTATCCCGCGCGCGTTGTTCCGCTTTCGCGTCGCGCCGTTCCCAAACAAAGGCGCGGAAAGAGGCTGAGTTGCGCGTTCGCTGATTAACGTCCCTCGCACTCCTTCTCCATTTACATCACGGGCAATTAATCAAATCTGGAAAAGTACTAGGCCAGTTCTGTACTGGTCGTATCGTACGCGGAGAGAATGTTCTCTTAAAATTTGTCGTGAAAATCGAGTGATTGCGCAGTGAGAAAACTTTCCATCGGATAAACCACTTGAAGTGTTACCGATGGTCAATTTTTCCGATTAAATTATGGATATATCCAATGAAATTTATCCGATAAAATTTGATTGGACAACCGATTACATTTTTTATCGGATATATTAGAATTTTCCAAAATTTCAAAGAATTCAAATTCCGAGGATTTCAAACTTTAAATCGCGAAAATCGGGAAACAAAGTATCAAGAGAACATGATCAAGGAAAGAGGGTGGCACTATTTGAAATTTCAATAATTTTTCAGCATTACACGGAGAGAATTTTCTATTAAAATATATCCTGAAAATCATGTAATTGTGGGACAACGTGGCATTTCGAAGAACTTTATGAGAGTTTTACATTTTACTAGTAAAACGTATGATAAAATTTCAAAAAACCCATAAAATTCTTCGAAATGCCGTGTTGTCCCACGACTGCATAATTTAGAAAGAAAAAAAATTCTCTCCGTGTAGTGTCGTGGACCGGTTCTAATTCAAGGTCGATTAATCGAATCTGCGATTCGCGACGCTACGGTACGATCGATGTAGAACCGGTCTGAACATCGTAAAGCATCGCCGAAGAGCGAAGCTGAAAATTTAGAACGAGACGAGACACTTTTATCAATCAGACTCGTTACGCGAACGTAGACACGGCTCTGCTTTCAAGCGGCCGCGGTACGACAGGAGCAGAAGTAGAACTAAACTTTACAGTGTAAACGGTACTTCATGTTGCGTCCAATAAGTCATGCACTGAATAATGCCATGTGCCTGTGCGAGCGCACACAGGCTTACGGCTCGTAGGGATATCGCGAGGCGGAAAGGCTGGGCCGATTTCCGCGCGCGCACGTTTGCACGCGCGGGCCCACCCGATCGCGAACGCGGGCGGATTAATGGGCAATAAATTCAAGCGCAGGACCGGTTAATTATCCAAGTCATCTATGGGGCCCCGGGATGACATATCTCTCGGCTACGATCAATACGTGAGGATCTCTCCCGCTCTCGTCCCGTCCGACGATCGCGCCTGATGTGGCTTACCTCGTGAGATAGGGGGTTGTTTTTATTACGGCCGGTGTTGGACGCGTTATTAATGGAGGAGAGCGTGGTGAGGGTCGCCGTGCCGACGCCACCGATGGTCTTCTCGCTGACCTTCGTACCAGCACCGCCGACATCCTTGTGCAACGTTCCAGGACTCTGTAATCAGAAGGAACGGGCGTTGGTTGTGGACTTGGAACGCGGTTCTTTAAATAATTGAAGAATCAATTCTCGGGACAACCGAGCCCGATATACACGTGATATACGTTACGTAACTTGTTGCACTGGCTATCCTTGCCGCGACACTTCATAAAAATTATAGAATTCATTACAGTTAAACATTCTTTAACGAGCACTCGGCCGTGCCGTGTCTTCCGTTTCGAAGACTCCGTTGAGAAATTATTTATCAGCACTCGCGCTTCAATTGTCAATTAACTGACCCCGTATCTTCGACGGGCCATTAAGGTCGCCGCCAAGTGAAAATTCCAAACTATCTCGCGTATTCTCCTCGCCAAGTTCCGCTATCTCGACGGCCTCCGTCCCGCTTCGCCGCTTAATTACTTCGATATTCCGCCCAGGCTGATGGCGCGACTCTCTTTTCGACACCGCTCGCCTATTTTCGCCTACCGCAATCCGTCCTCGCGCTTACCCTCTCCCGTCCAACAGACTAAACACGCGATTTAGCAATCGGAGACAAAGCGTTAACGTGGGTGGCTTCGGGCGCAGGCCGAGCCGCGCGTCGGTGTTGACGGGGACACGTGTGCGGATGCGCGTCGCTGCACGTGTGCGTGCCGCGAGCGCGCGTCCGCGATACGCGGCCGATAAGTGCGCCGAAGAAATGACGCCGCGGGCGATTGGGACTCCGACGCTGCGCTCTCATTCATCGTGCGATCCTCTTCGATGGAATCACTCCGGTGTTTGATATCCGCGTAACAAATATCCCGCGGCTTTGTTTCCCTCCGGAAAGACCTTCTCCCCCTTTAGAAATTCTGAATCCGCGATCGTTCCTACCGTGTTCGAAAGAGATTTACACGCAATATTTCGGGATTCTACCGTTCGACGCGGGGGGGAGCCAGACGTACGGCTGATGTGATTTTCGCGGGCGAAATAGAATCAGGCTAGTGGGGCACGCGAAAAAACCTCGATGCGCCGCGTCGCGACGCGCTTTTGCGCGTAGATAAACGCGCGCGTTCGTTCCGAGGAACGGAGAATCGACGCTCGTCTCGGCACGACGTCGGGGGAACAATCGGACGGCTGGGGACGGTTTTGCTTTGCAAAACAATGTAAGAATAATTAAAGCTCGTCTCGTTAGTGTCGGACAATGGAGCGCGATAGATTCGCCTCGCTGCAAATGTGGCACGGCGCGCATGCAAACCGCGTATCGCCGCAAATGGTGCACGCAGCGCCGCGCTGGTGATCAAAGTCACGGATCGTTTTAAGAAAAGCCTCGTAGGCGGGAGAATCCTGAAAAAAAAACGCGCGCGCGCAGTGTTTACTCGCGAATTGGATCGCGCCGAGGACTCTTCCTCTCGTCTCGCAAAAAGAGCAACGTAGGCCGCTACGTAGCCACGATGAGAATTAACTGTAAGCCTGTAACGGTTCAAAGGCGGCGCACTCATTACAGACGATTTATAATTCGCCATCGGGATCTACGGAACGTTTATAAACGGTGCAGTGACCCCGCGGCTAATGCGCAGTGACAGAAATCGATGTATTCTTAGGCCGGCGAGTCCGCCCCTTATTATACGCGGGTCTATAATTACATATCGATGTTTAATTGGAGGGCGACCCTGGAGCCCGTAGGAAAAAAAAACGACCGTTGCATAAGGAACGCGGTCAAGAACCTACGCGATCGCATCAAACACGTTGATAGGACGATCCTCGTAGGCACTTCATCAGCTCCACTCAACAATGGAAAATAGGTCCAACAGACTTAGACTTTCATCTGGGCGGGCACGGAGCCGAGATTCGCGTCGCTAAAGGAAACTCCAATTAGCGAACTCTCGACTACGCCGTACCCTTAATATCGAAGCCCGTCAAAGCGCGTAAATTAAATCTGTAAATTTTTCTACGCTGAATCGTACACGGTGAAAAATTTGCATCGAATAAACCAATTAAGTGGTGTTTCCGATGGTTAATTTTTCCGATTAAATTATGTACTGTCCGACGAAATGTAGTTACCGACAAAATTTGATCGAGAAACCGATCATATTTTTCATCGGATATTTTTCTCAGCGTGCAAGCAATTTTAATTTCTTTCAATATTACTGTAATATTGCATCCGGAGGGAAGAGGGAAGTCTGGGCCAAGCCAGAGCTCGGGCACTTACATTCGCGCGCGCAATCACGAAATGAGCGAGGCTCGTGTGTCACGTAACACAAGCTTTATTTAAACTGTATACAGGGAGCGGTAATCAGAAACCGAAAACCGTGTGTACGTCCGTAAGCAGCGAGAGCTCCAGCGAGACTACTCTCTTCCGTTGTTCACCCGGAGAGTAGGGGTCGAGCAAACTTCTTTCTTAACCTTCTCATACTCGAGGAGATTGTTTCCCCTCTCGTCTCTTGGTACGCCGATGTCTCATTTAGAAAGACTAATAATAATAAACGAAAGACACCTGATCTTACACGGAAACGCATGAATAAATTCCACGGATGTAACAATATTTTATGCCCAACGGGCAACGAACGTGTACGCGTATTACGTAGTCGTCTAGCTTTACCCGCGACTGCCAAGTCATTTTAATGCTAAATGCGCGGGTCAAAATACACAGAATCCATGACACAGGCGGGACAGGAAGTCACGGGAAAACGGAGGGAAGGGGGGTGAGGAGCGGTGGGAGAGCGACACAGTAGGTTCGTTAGACCTACCTGTTCGTACCATTGTCAATGTCACATCGGTGGACTTGTGTCACTGTGCGGCAGGTCAACGCACGTATCTACGCAACGGTACGCGCTCTTTTCTACAAAATCGATACTAGAACGTAGTCGAAACGTGTCGATTGCGCGCGGCAACGTTCTAGCTTCTTTTCCAACGAATGATGGTGCGCTGAGAAAAATGCCCGATTAAATATACTCGGATAATCCAATTACACAATAACAAACGGACATATCCGATGAAAAATGTGATCGGTTCTTCAATCAAATTTCATCGGGTGTATCCATAATTTAATCGAAAGACGGAAAAATTCACCATCGGAAACACTATTTAATTGGTTTATCCGATGGAAATTTTTCTCAGTGTACATGTACAATTATTGCGATGCGCACAGAGCACGGCGAACTGCACAGAAGTATTAGCATTAATTTAGATTTTTAGTAGCTTACTGTTGGATTTCTATCCTTGCCGCGTTGCGATTAATCTGGCCGACCGACGGCCGAATTTTCCATCTGCACGATTAACGGGAAACCGCTGATACCCGAGATGGATCCGCTTTGCTTTAATGGATAAGGAGGGGCCGAACAACGTGAATGAAAGAAGCCCGACCCACGGTGAAGAGAATCACGAACGGATATGTCGGGGCAAAAAAGCGCAAGGGGAGTGCGTGGGTAGAGGAAAGAAACGGGAAGGCGAAAGGAAAAGGGGAGAGCTTAAATTTCAGTAACTGAGTGCGTGAGAAGTGCCGGAGAGGACCCGCTAGTTCTATTTAGATTATCCGCATAATGCATGACTGATGTAGTTCTCCTGCAGAGTGAGAGGCGACGACACAAAACCTCGTAGAAGGTCCCTTTTGTGACGAACAGGAGCTCATGAAAGGGGGATAAATTTAGGATCTCGCTGCATCATAACGGGAGATGTGAAACGCCCTACTTTACATTATTCTCGAGACGGATAACAGCGAATAAGACTTATATAAAGTTTACAATAGACGTCTTTGTGAAAAATAAAATAGTCGCCAAGTCCTATGCCTTTCCTATGTAGATTTCACTTATATACATGTACAAAATTAATTTTATATATATATATACGCAAAGTATTTAGGAGAGAAAACGAGGTTTCTGTGACTAAAAAGAATTGAAAAAAAGTGTGATTGATCGCGATTTTATCTGAACATGGGCAAACGTCGCGAGGCAAAATTCGTCCGCATATAAATAGCGGTAGGCAGAAGAGGAGGGGAGAAAAAAAAGAGACATGATAAAGTTGGACGCTCTCTCATCCACCCAGCGTGGCACCCTATCATTACGCTCGCTCAGGGGCAAACCTTAATCTCGGGACCGGTGTGGACTTCGTGGCTCTTGATTTTTCTCGGAGCACCTGGCCGCACGCCGCTCGGGCCCGGCGCACCTAGCGATAGCGGCAGGTGGAACACAGATTTGACTTGCCAAACCTGCGTACACGAGGACCGAACGGCCGCGCACCGGCTCGTCGAGGTTTCGTCGACCTCGCGCGCCTCAATCCGAACGCGCGGGATATCGTATACCTGCGCACGGATGCGCGCACGCACACACGGGCGCACGAACACGTGCGGGTGAGCAGATGTATCTCGTATCTGGCACCTGCCAACCTGCAGCGGCACAAAGACTAGACTTAGGGCAGCAGCCTGCAGCTGTCCGCGCCTCCTGCGAGAAAACCACGTTTTCGTCTCGTAATAAACGCCTCATCTTGTCCTCAAGTAATCCTAACGCGCTGCCCTGGCGAATATTATCTGAATAAATAAAGGCAGTCACCGTTATTTTCTCAACGAGTCTCTTGTCCCAAATAAATTAAAATTGACGATAATGCGCCCGTAATTGCGCATCGCGGAGCACGTAACAACGTCCAATTCCGCAAGCCACTCACGTGCTTTCGGAATAGCCTCGATGACTGTTCTCCGTAATCGAGACGATGCCGGAGATGCATTACAAATTCGCGAGTTCTCGCACCGCGACATTTAGCGGGATGGAATTTCCACGTCGTCCCCCCCCCCCCCCGACATCGCCGAGCGATCACTCGTCGCGGAATTTTTGAAATCCCGAGTAAACGCCTGGGACATATCGAGCCTCGGTAGCTCACGGCCGACAAAAGCCGTAAGCGGCCGAGATATGAAAGCACGGGGGCAAATTTCATCAATCTTTTAACACGTCGAAAGCGCGCCGAGGAATGCGACGCGAAAATTACGCGCCTGAGAGATTACGCCTTAAAATTACTCTAAATTACACCACCGCAATTACGCCGCCGATCGC